TCGAAGATAAAAAAATAAAGAATCGGGAAGGAATAGAAATTAAAATCACTCCCGAAAAAATGTTTACATCCACCTTTCTTAAAATTCCTGGATGTGTTCCGATTGATGTGATAGTATGTTGTAAAAAACTTCATCCGGATTCTAAGATAAATACACTTAACCATTACTTAGAAATCAATGGTCTCGAAAATAAAATAGATTTATCTATAAAGAATATGAGAACATATTATGAGCAAAGCAAAATCTCTACTACAACTGAAACTACCAAATATATGCATAAAATTGCGGAATACTGTATTGTAGATGCTAAATCTTCTCAGCGACTTATGGTCGAGAAAAATATAATAAATGACTATAGAGGTGTTGCATCTATTGCTTATATATCTTTATTCGATTCACATTATTATGCTATAGGTATGAAGGTACATAATCTCTTGGGTGCCGAAGCATGGAAGCGAGATATTCTAGTTACCATGATAACGAAAAAAACTGAAAAAGGATCATTCCCAGGAGCTTATGTGTACCCTCCAGATAAAGGCCTTGAAGGTAAACGTCCAGTTACAGGTTTGGATTTTGCATCTTTGTATCTGAGTCTTATTATGACTTATAATTTATCACCAGAAAAGATAGTATATACATTAACTGAAGCAAATGCACTAAAGAAAGAAAACAAAGTACTTCATACAATTGAGTTTGGTGGAACCATTCATGCATGGAGCATACGACATGAAAACAAATCTAACCAAAAAGGCTTATATCTATCTCTATTAGAATATTTACTTAATAAGCAAAATGAGATGAAGACCCAATTGAAACACCTTGGAAAGAAAATAGAGCATATGGGACTTGTGAAAAGTAGAATAAATTCTGAAGTTAGTTCGATAGTAACTGTAGAAACTATTAAAGGTATTCTGGAGGATATAAAAGATGAAAAGAAACGCCTAGATGTGGCCAAAACCCTAAATAATTTTATTGGAACACCTTATAAGAATTTTATAGAAGAATATGATTTGATTTATTTTGACTTCAGCTACTTAGATTCAAAGCAGAAAGCATTAAAAGTGTATATGAATTCATTTTATAGTAAAATGGGTAACAGTCTCTCACCTTTTTATATACACCAGCTTGCTGGTAGCGTTATATCAGCAGGGCAGTATAATATTAAGCTTGTTGCAGAATACGTGAAAAAGAAAGGTTTTGAAATTAAGTATGGTGATACAGACTCTTTGTATCTTAAATCCCCAAATAATTATTATAAAGAATGTGATCTCGCTTATAATAATGGCAAAGGTACAATCTCAAAGTTAGAGTATTGGACAGAAATGGTTGAAATTACTATGAAGGTAATAGAAAGACTATGTAATGAGGTAAATTCATTTCTTAGATTAAAAAGCAGATCAGTTTACCTAAAAATGGCATATGAGGAGGTATTATTTCCTGTCTGTTTTACTGGTAAGAAAAAGTATTTTGGTATAGCACACAAGGAAGCTGTGAACTTCAAACCAGATGAACTTTTCATCAAAGGAATTGATACTATAAAACAAGGTAAGTCCCAACTTTTTAGAACTATAGGAGATCGAATCATATGGGGAGTTATGGATATCAATAATGTACATTCACTCCATCAGATTGTTGAAGATGTTTTTAAAGAGGCCATATCCAATTCTAAGCAATGGGATTTCAAGCAGTTTATAGAGACAGCTATGTGGAAACCTGATAAAAATAATATACGTGTTTAACGCTTTATAAAATAGATGAGAAAAGAATACGAAAATAAGATTTCAGATACAGGAGAATGCTTTAGTTATGTAATGATCCATCCAGATTCACTCTTTGGTTTATCTGGTAAAAAGCTTACACTGAAAAAGAGTGATCAAATGGAATTTGTGGATGTTGCAAAAGAATTAAATAAGGAATTGGATCTATCTCATTATTTTGAAAATACTATTACTGCACTTTGTGCCTGATTTATAATGTATGATAAAAGATATGAACTACCATCTACCAACAAGATTATGCAAATTTCTGACTTGGATGAGAAGTATAAACAGATTGATATCTATGCTCAAAATAAGGCCAAGAAGTGGCTTGAGTCATATATTAAGGAGATAAATGTGAAAAACGGAATCAATTCTAAAAAGATATCTAATCGTGGATATGTCTACAAACGTGCTTATAAGAAAGCGCAAGATATATTATATCAGAAAATGGGTAATACATATGAAATATATCATGGAGATTGGTTAAGCTTCGAAAACTTTAAGGTAGGTGACCCTGTTTCGAGATTATGGGAGAGATTCATAGAGTATGCTAAAGCATATACTAAAAATAATAATCTCTCAGTAAGTACTGAGGTAAGAGAATCTATATGCTCCGATTTTACGAAACACATAAATGCACTTATCCCAATTATCAAAAAATATGATGCCTCTTTTCATCAATTAGTATACCACATGCGATATAAAGAACATGTATCAAACCCAGATAAAATTGGCCCACCCGAAACTATGAGAAAAAATGAGATAGTTGTCGAGCAACCTATTATATTCAATATAACGAAAGCTGATCAACTGGTACTCGACAGTTTTCTAAATATATGGTATAAGGCAGTCAACTCAATATAAATATAACACAATATCTATAAGGCTATACAATAAAAATTTTTTCGTACATAAATAATATCCAAGTTCAAATAGATAGTCTTGGTTACCCGATTCACATATTCCGCAATCGATCACTTTTTTTATGACCCTTTAGAGTCGCTCCTTCAGCATGCAGAGCAATGGCACTTTGAGCCTACCTATATTCCATGTGCGTCTTACAAACCACACAACCGCAATAATTAACAGAGCAAGAAAAATATATGCCGATAGCGGTGACATTAAAGTGTTTGCCACAGCAGAAAGAGGCAAAGCCTCGAGACTAGGTCTCATCTGGGAATTCGATTTAATCAATGAGGATATGTGTGTTTTGTGATATTTTTATTATATAGTTTTTATATTCTGCTTTCTTACATTAAATGTATTAGAAAAAAATCTGAAAAATCATATGACTTTGATCATATTATAAAAATGTGAGATTATAACGAGATTGATACCAAAGCTTTTACCTATGCCAAAAGACGTAAAGGGGAATGCTTGGCTAAAGCTAGATCCAATGCAGATATTTATTTGTGGTCATGCAAAAATCAACATCAATAGGAAGCATCTTATAAAGATATGAAGCAGAATTATGGATGGTGTAATAGTTGTCCCCATATATTTGAGCGAAGATGTCAATATATATTCGAAGAATTATTATATAAGAAATTTTCACCTCGAAAACCCAAATTTTTAAAAGGTTTACAGCTTGATGGGTATAATGAGGAATTACATTTGGCCTTCGAATATAGTGGTAATCAACATTTTCAAATTGTTCCATTTTTCCATCCACAAGGGCAAATTAATTTAGATTTACAAATTCAAAGTGATTGGAGAAAGAGAGCACTCTGTTTTAAGGAGAGAATAATTCTTATTACAATCCCTTATTGCATTATTGATTTGCTAACTTTCATCAAGTGTGCCTTGAATGCATTCAGTTATCTTCTAGTACCCACCTAGGAGGTAACATAGGCTCTTCCTTAATATGCATTAATTTTTCTCTTACAAAAGGATGTTGAAGACCTGTTTCATCTAAATAATATAATACAGGCATTGGTGGATTTTTTCCAACAACAATTTTCTGAATTTTATGAAGGCTTGGACTCCATACTGGATCTGTTATTCTTCGTTGTTCAAAGGGATCATTTTCCCATTCACCAGGAGCAAGTAAAAATCGAACTATAGTTCCCTTTGGTAACTGTGGCTCAT